ACTAAGTTGCTCTGACAGCAAGACCGAGTCTCGAAAACGAGGCCAACCCTTTTCAAATAATATCAACTTTAATACTCTGTCCCTTTTAGTCTATATTCCTTGACCTGATTTTAATTTCTAAATTCTTTAATTTCTTGTCCTGACCGCATATGTCATTTTATCTATCCTTTCCGCTAGACCCTCCGCCATATCCTGTAGTTTAAGAAAAGCTTCTTGAGAAAACAGCAGCAAAAGCAAGTGAGCCCAACAATTCCCCGAAACCCAACTTTTCTTTGCATAACCAATCCTATGGCGACAAATTTTACGGCCCAGATTTTTTAAATTAAGTGCCGCTTTATCTTCTACTTCACGTGAAAAATCTAACAAGTAGGAATAAATAATTTATTACTTCTATTAAAAAACATAGAGGTTTCCTTTGAGCCGTTTTGACTGCAACGTCACCCGACTCCGATTAGCTCATGCTGATAATTTGTCTGATGTGTATCAGAAACATTAAGAGCAAGAATGGAAAATTACATAGAAGCAATTCATCACTAATCGGTTTCAATAAAATGGTGATTTAAGCCAAATTTGAGTTAGTAGAGCTGCCCAATAAACTGTTTTGTATATTGTTTTAGTGAGGCTTTTCATTCAGGTGGTTTTTGAAACATCACAGAAGATTGCTCAGTGTTGATTCCTCGAACCCGGCAGACTGATCACCATGGATTACTGATATAAAGTGTGTATCTACTCTAGTACTGTCCCAAAGACTAAAATTATTATTCTCATTCGCTATTTTTTCCTAATTGAATTACTAATCTAGAGAAACAACTGCATAAAAGCACAATTTTCCCATCTTATATCTAAGAGCATATCAAGCTAGGTGAGGTGTCCTGTCAATTTTAACTGGTTGAGCTCGGTCTCCTGCCGTTTAAAAAATCCCTTTAGGAATAGATCTGCTACATAGAGATTTACCTGGTGTGAAATTACATCCTAAGAAAATCGTTGAAAGGCTCGTTTGGTCCAATTATGTATTCGCATCATGATCCAATTTGATAACCATTTTAAGGAACATAATTCAATTATAATATTAAAATAATTGGTATTTAGCCCAAAAATATATTTTTTTCAAACATTAATAGACAACAAAATTAAACCAACTAAAAGTGTAACCAAGTGGGCCTACTTATACGCTCTCTTTTTCGTAGGTAAGTAGACTACCAGTAAATCAGTAATATGAGATGTATTCACCCAATTTTGTTTAAGGTGATGAAGGACTGGTAGTAGAATTTTCCCACAATGATATGAGTAGAGCTGACTTTTCCATTTAATTTCACATAGCCTTGCTTTCTCAAAAGTTGTTCTCATCCAGGGTGGTCTGCAGTTTCAACCTCGAATTGGTCGAAACTGCAGCATCCACAACGAGAGTCGAACCATGAGAGTGCAGAATGTGAGATTGACACGTTAAGCACTCGGTCACATTGTCACTAGTGCCCTTGGGTCACAGGGCAGATGTGAATTTCAAGAAGGCCAGGCCTTTTCTCATATTACATTCTTTGGTGTTATTGTCGAATAATCTAACGTATTTTTGTTATATAAGATATAACTGATTTACTGGTAGCCTCGAAACTCTACTTATATGCGAAAAATAAGTAATGTAGTCGATCGTTATAGCAAAAATACGTTTGCTTCATCGACAATCCCATCAAAAAATGTGATATGGGATAAGGCCTGGACTTCCTTGAAATTCACATCTGTCCTGTGACCCAAGGGCACTCGTGACAATGTGGCCGAGTGGTTAACGTGTCAAGCTCCCATTCTGCACTGTCACGGTTCGACTCCCGCTGGGTGGTGTTAATAATACCTATGCGAGGTGGAGACTGCAGTCCACCCTGGATGAAAACAACTTTTCGAAGAGCATTGCTATGTGAAATTCAAGGGAAAAGTCAGCTCTACTCATATCATTTGGGGGAAATTCTGCTGCTACTCCTTGATCACCTCAAACTAAATAATGTGAATACATCTGATACGCTCTTCTATTAAAGTTGAAGGAGTACTTGCCGATAGCTCCTATGCCTCTCTAAAATTGTCCCTGATGTTTAATCATGGCAGTATTGAGATAGCAGGGACAGTAGCCATAGAACCAGTTGTTAGTTCAAATCATCATCCCCAAAACGCATACCTTAGACTAATTACTTCATTGAGAATGATTAAATATAAATGGCCTAACCTTGAGTTACTTTAATTCACTTATTGCTGGCTTGATAGTTAAGTTTCCCAGAATGTCTTCTGTATAATTTATCACCATGCCTTTGAATTTCGCTTCAGTGCTGTCTTCCGAATTGAAGTGAGGATATTTGCACTTTTCTCTAACTTGTTAAAGAAAATAACCAGATGTGAGAATATATAGCCCATTGGCAGACCAAACATCTCTTCATAAACACGACGAAATGCAAAAGAGGTATTTTTTATTTTCAGGTTGATCAAATTTGTTGACTGTTAGCGTTGTTGTACATTCAATGTCTACGAATATTTTGTAACAGAAAGCATTCATATAACTCATTAAAATAGGATATCTTCGAAGTGGAGCAGATCAGCAAAGGCTCGTTAACGCAAATATGCAACCCGAGAATAGTGACTATCAATCTCACATTCATTTGTAATATTTTTGCTTTGAGACTCGCCTCTTGCACCTCTTTTCTCTAACGTCTATATGAACAACACGGAGGAAGGATTAAGGAAACCACGATTACAGCTTTAACTAATAATAGTTTATAAGGGAGTAATTAGAGTACTTGAGAATTATAAACTTGATTTAGAAACAAGTCGAGTTGACAACGGAGGTGGTAGGAAGTAGGAAATTACAGTTGCTGGAGACAGGAGTCACTCGTTCCTATAAGATCGTTAAGAGAAGGATATTTATAAAGCAGTTCCAAAGAGAAATAATTGCAAATTTTCAATCTCCTTAGAATTACTTAATTAAGTTTGGAGTATGATCATAAGAAGCATAAAAATAGCACGTGGAATTTAAGAATAAGTATTGAATTCTCGGGAGCATGTATGCAATGCAACTTATTCAAGAAAATATAGAAAACTTGATAAGCATATGCTAGCAATAAAATCAGGAAGACAGTTGCAAAAACATTAATATGTCTAGCTTCTTGAGAACTGATCTGGAAAATGTGGAAGCCGCTAATGAAATGGAATATTTGTGCGAGCCAAAATAGGCAGCGCGTTTTAGAGGCAAACTCACGCCATGGAAAGGTGGACAAATTTGATTGGGCGGTTATGTACAGTGTTAAAGTTAGCGTCTTTAAAGAAAATTAAATTAAGAAAACGATGAGAGCAAATCAGCTAAAGAGGAAAGAATGACAAGTACACTTCAGGGACAGAGAAATTGGGGATATCGAAAACTGCAGACCACATTGCATCGACAGATCACATAATTAACCAAGATACAACTGAACGGCTATATTCATTAGGTGTAAATATAAGGAAATGCAAGATTAGGTAAGCCACCAATATTCTCATATTAATTCAAGCGAATCTAATGAACTGGAGACTGAAAGAGGGACGAATTAGCGATAATTTACCCTATTGCTTAGGAAAATTTGTAAAAAGCCGAATTGACAAAATCATCAAAATGAAACTTCTTAATCGCGACTACAGTTCAAACATTTATTTAAATCATTTCAAATAAAAGTCTATTATTAAAAAAAAGTAAGTCCAGAGACGACGAATTCAATTGGTGGAGACAAACTAAGGGGCCAGCTATAAAAACTTGGTACCTCCACCAATTTAGTTCTCCACCATGGGATACAGACACGTTCAGTCATAACCGTCTTATGAGGTTTCCTTTAGATATGCAAGGAGAAGGGTTCATATACACTTAATATCCATTCTTAACCACTTAAACAATCCAGCTGAAGGGTAGAGAAATCATCTCAATTTGAATACAGTGCACATATTTGATTATTGGTGTGGGTCATGAAATCAGCACATGGGCCTGAAATTTGCCAACCCATGTACAAACGTCGGATCTACCGTAGTAAAGCCATTAGCTTATGATAGGCTAAAAGAACAAAATACTATATGAAGAGGTAGATTTTCATATTAGTATTTCTAAATTAAATAGACAGACTAGCTAAGACATTAAAATCAAGCCATATAATGCGATAAACATGAAATTATGATTCAAGATTCAGGGAAGATGAAATGTATAGTAAACATTAAAATGACTATCTTAAGTTCATCCCAGGGAGAATATATTTTAAATGTACTATCATACCTTGAAGTTAAATCATGTTAATAGCTAATGAAATATAGCCGATACGATGACTGAAGCCAAGGATTTTCTAATGTTTCGTTTATAAGTAGGTTATCAAGACTACCAAGATTTTATAAAGCAGGATAATCCACATAATTGAAGTTTGGTAGCATGAATTACCTAGTGAGGCTTTGAATTCCAATCAGGAAGGGTTGCAAGGATGAAAAACTAGTGATTACGCCTCGATAAATCTACTTTAGGGGAAAAGCTGAGATACAGATTTGGCTACATTGGCGGCTTGGTCATATGAGGTGGGGGCGAGGAATGGTTATATAATGTTTAATATAGGAAATGAACAATGACTGTTAATAGGAGAATTTTACAATATTTCTCTTTTACTAGTTGTAGCGAACTATAACTAAATCACTGCCTGTTGACAATGCCAACTAAGGTTCCGTCAGGAAGTCTATGAAGGTACCTAATCAACAATCCGGTATCAAAATTCTGGATCACAGTGGCAGAAGACGCCTGACCGGATAGGTTCTTCTAAGTCAGTCTGGAGACAAGTTATTTGCCAAAATTGGGTAAAATAAACTCTCTTCATTTAAGGAAGACCTCAATAAAACAAAAGGCCGCATCTGCTCAATTTTTATATCTCGTCCTTTACATTCGACAATTCAGGTTTGTTCGTGTGCAGAGCTGTCGCAAAAATTCCAGTCCTGCCAGACCGAGTGTTAGCGAGCCCGCTGGGCCCATGTCTGGCATTCAATGGCGAAACGAAGCTCCGCGTAGTCTCGTCGACCTGATAGAAGAGTTCCGTGCCACGCCGTCGTCTGGCAACCCTTCTGACAACCGAGGCACCACACACTTATTGCGTGCCATCTGCCAGCGACCCGGTTGCCGCTGCGCCCTGCGTGGTCATGACAGCCTTATGGTGTTCACCGTTTTCGACGCCAGCTTTGCCTACGCGACCTGGGAGCGCATTTTGACGGGCCCGGGTGCCACTTTAGGAGCCAGTGGTCCTCCTCTCCTCGCCTTGCCGACAAATAGCAAAACAACCAAACAACTTGCCTGTTCGGTGGCCACCAGTCTGGGCGGCTCCGTTGCAGCCGGGCTGGGAGGTACCGAGATTCAGGCCAGGATGATGGTGTTCAGACAATGCCGCGGCTGGTACGAGGTTCTCAACGAAAGTCATCAGTCCATTCCACACTGGACGACGCTGGAACAGCTGCATCGAGCTCGTCCCTCCACCTTCCTTCTCCGCAAGGAGTTGCGTTGTCTACTTTCTCCGGCCAGCCTCAGCTTGGTCGCTTGTACATCTTCACCCATTGGCCAGGGTGGTCGTCACGCCCAGCCGTCGACCGGCCAGCAGCATCAGCAACTGCAGTCGGTACCACATCTTCCCATCTCCTCAGCAGCCCTGATTGCTCAGGCCACTTCACCCGAAACCTTGGCCGCCAGCCAACCACACATTCTACCCACTGGCTCCCTCTTGCACTATATCGACTATCTGCCCAACTGTTCATTTCGCCGTGGCAAGCATTCTAAGAATGTCAATTTGGTACTGGCGATGGAGCGCCAATCGACTTCCAGTCGGATGAAGGAGCCGACCGATCTGGCCGCGTCCGACCCGGCTTCCGGAGGTCAGCCACGACGCCAGCTGCCCCAAGTCGTGTACATCGGTACCGAAGAGTCTGCTGTCACGGGTGTCTCGGCTGTTTTGCCTCCGCGGCTGGCCTGCAGCCCTGTAGCTGGGCCCGAGAACATCTCCGGCGTCCACTCAATGGCCAGCATTCTACGCAAGTTTCGACTGCCCATTTCCGTTCGACCGGTCGCCGTTCCCGAGAGCAAGACGGCCACGACCACCAGCCCGGCTCCACTCACAGCGCCCACCGGCGGCACACTCACCGCCGTCACCGGCCAGGTGCCGGCAGAGTTGACTCGATTCCCGCTCATGAACGGACTGGTCTACACTGACCGCCACCTCTTACGACTGCGATCCATCTACCGCGGAGACCTGCTAATTATTGCACCCACCTCTTCGCCGGAGCGATTCTTCCTCATCACACCTGCCATGCTTCAGGACCATCTCTTCCAGGTGGGCACTTCCGTGGACCCGGTCCATCAGCGCCTCTGTGCCGGTCACAGGAGCAGGACGGCAAACTTCTTGGCAACCGCGCACCCGCGTGACTCCTTGAGCTATCTGCTGCGCTACATGCAAGAGATCACACATCAGCCAAGGCCGCCACCGGGTGTCAAGTCAGTCGGCAATCAGAACGCCAAACCGATAGACGAGACTGGCGGAGAACATGAGAGTGCCAAAATGTGGCCACCATTACAGATCCCGCTGGAGGAGGCGGAGCAAATCTACGAAGAACTAGATGATATATACTATTTCATCAGAAACGGCTACTATCCGCCAACTAGCAGGGCCCGTCGCGCGTCTACGCTGCATCCACCGGCTGTGGCTGGATCCAACGCTCAGCCGGCCGCGCTGCAACCGGGCCTTCCAACCGTTGCTGTGGCACTACATCAAGCCGGACAGCAACCCAGTGGTCCTGTGGGCTTAGTGAGGCCAGCCTTAGGTCCTGGCCCTGGGGCGGTAGCTGTGAGTGGGACGGCGGCAGTCACCTCCGGTGGGACAGTAAAGTGGCCACAGTCACAAAGGCTGAACCATGTGCCCACAGCAGAGGAGCTACTCGCCGCTTCTTTGGGTCAAGATGCCACCAGCCTTGGCACTACGGCATGGGCCAACGCTAACACCGGAACATACAACCTCTGACATCTTTGAATCTCCTCTCGCGCCCAGCGAGGCTGAGATGCTCGATTGTATGACTCTTCACATGCAGCTTCTTCGGATGGCGTTTGTATAGATTATAATGTTAATTGTAAATGAAGCCAAATATCCATCTATATGATTAGAATGGCATGATAACACACACACACACACACACACACACA